AATAAAATGTAAGTGGCTGAAATGTGCCAACAATTGCTTCGAGTGTTGTGTGTATAAAATGTTGCTAGGTGCGAGGGGTGTGGCAGCATCGAAGTCGGTCCCGGGGGCAACTGGATGCCAAATTGAAATTGAAATTCTTTTTGAAAACTTCCAACGTTGCAGCAAATCAGACTTGTAATTTATTTTAATAATGTCGCCAGTCGAGCTCTTGGCTGGTGGCTGATGGCTGATGGCTAATGCCTGATGGTGGGTTGGCAAAGAGCAGGATGAGGAGGCGGAGTGGCGACAGTAAATCCGGAATAATTCACATCAAGTTGAAGCCACAAAATTGCACAAAAATTGTTCGTGAAAACAAACAAAAATGAATTTAAGCAAAATGTTTAGTGAGTAGCAACGTATAATAAATTCATCAGTTGGCAGTCGGCGGTCGGGCAGTCTGTCAATCCAGCAGTCATTCATGCAGTCAGTCACGGTCAGCTGCTGCGCGACTCCTGAGGTTTTGGGGAGTTCATCATCAGTTGCCGAGGGTGCCAACGTTTTGGGGTCAGAGTGAAACGTAATTGGCCTGCACTTTAATTTGATTGAAGACAAGCAAGCAACAAAGCAATTCAAAGCAACCTGTGCGCCCGCACAAGCAAAAACAACAGCAACAACAAATGTGGCAAGTGGTGGCGGAGGCTGGTGGTGGGCGCTTTGAATGTCAACACAGCACAACAAAGTGAAAGTGAAAAATTTGTTAACGAAAAACGTAGCGAACCGACTTTTCTTTTATGCAATTGCCTAATGTTTTTCCCATTGTTGTAGTTGTTCAGTTGCTGCTGCTGCTGTTGTTGTTGTTGTTTTTGTTGCTTTAGCTACTGCCAACTCACATAATGTATTCTGCCTCATTGATCGTTTTTCAGGCAAAACAAAAGCTGCATAAATCGTACGCCATCGCCATTGGTTTTGCCTCTGCCTGTGAAGTAGTAAGAGTTTCGAACTGATCTTGCTAAGTTCGTCGTCTAAGTCTTTCGTTTCTAGGCGCTGATCTTTGGCACAGCCACAGACACTTCACCCGCAATCTCAATGGCAATTGATTGCCGGCTGCTTGTTAAATGTTTTGTTTGCTTTTGTGTTAACAAATGGCAATTACTGCAAATTGGCGCTGCTGCCCGCTTTGGCGGCTATTAGAGCTGGGCGCCTCTTGCGCGAAAGTTGTTGCATTGCGTGTGTGTTAAACGTGGGTAATCAAGCATTAGCGTGCAGATCGCACATGATATATGGCATGCTGGACAGGCGCTCGATATATAGTAAGTCTTACCTTCGCATGCACAAAATGTAGAACAAGCCTTGGACGTTGTAAGTAAAATTTTGTGCATTGCAAATTAGTTTCAAAATAACAGACACTTTCCCGCAAAATATACAAACACCAAAATAAACTCACACACACACTCAGGCTCGTGCAGACGCGTGTGAAGGCAGAAGACCCACTGCATGCCTCGTATAGATAAACTTGTAAATCTCACCGTTAGGATCGTGTGCGCTGCTTTCGTAATTATATTTTCATTAATAAAATGCGCTAAGCATGAATTATGCATGTGCGTTGTATGTCTGCTGCTGCACTGCAAGAAATACTTGGCGGCTGCCCGCTCAAACGCTTTCATTCGGTAAAGCATTTTATGGCTCAGCCAGAAAGTATGCAATCATTTTTAAAACGATAAGCAAAAAATTAAGAAAAAGTTGATTTCATTGTCGTTGTTACATTTACAACAAGGCCGTCGTCATGCAGAGATATCACAATGTTGGGGTCCACGCTCAGTCATACAAATTCGCACAAATATCTTGGTGTAATTCTGGACAGAAGACTCAACTTCAGCAAGCATACAACAATGGTCAAGCGATCGGTCATGGCGAAAGCCGGAAAGATGGCATGGCTGCTTGCACCATGCAACAAGCTGTCCCTGCACAGTAAGGTGACAGTATACAAGTCCATATTAAGTCCAATATGGAAGTATGCGCTACCAATTTATGGCATTGCCGCTGCATCGAACCTAAACAAAATAAGAGTTGCGCAAGCTAAAATACTGAGAAAAATATGCAACGCTCCCTGGTATATGCGCACTAGGGACATCGAAAGAGACTTATGTGTCCCCAAGGTTGGCGATGTCATTCAAACGCACGCAAGCAATTACGAGAAGCGACTCGGCAGTCACCCCAACGCACTAGCGAGGCGGCTCCTGTCCAAACCTAAGAAGAGAAGACTGAAGAAGTGCCATCCAAAGGATCTCCCCACAAGATCCCTTGTATAAAATATATAATATATATCATAAAATATAATTTCATTTCTAATGTAAAACATTGTAAATATTGTATATATGTACATAGATATAAGTGCGTCCTATAGATGCTTACTATAGACAACTTTTGTATTCCCTAACTTTCAACTAGCTTAAGCTGCCATATTGGTAGTAGAAAACTAGTTTAATAAATTGTATATATGTAAAAAAAAAAAAAAAAAAAAAAAAAAAAAAAAAAAATTGTCGTTGTTTATTGTATTGCCTGTTCATTTTTATCACATTTTTAGTGGAGTGCGCCTGAACTACATATTAGCTTGTCTCATTTATCTCAAATTAAATATCAATTGTTATGGAAATAATAAGCAATTAATATATATTTGTTTACTTAAAAATATTTATTATGGGACTGATTTCGCGTATCGGAGGCACTGAAATGCCACTATTGTCCGTATATTTACTTTGCCAATGGAATATATAACTTTTATTAATTATACATATTACAAATCTTTTAGATTCAACATTGTGATGCATTTTTTAACCAAAAAATCTCTTGAAACAAATACAAAATTCACACAATATTTTTAAACACTGTTATATAGCTAGTTGTTAGAAGAAAACATAAAGGAAGCTATCCATTATACGACCCCGTTGCGAAGGAAACGCTAGAGTTTAAAAAATACAAAATGTACATTATGTTAGTAAAAAAGGCTTGATTTTAGGTCAATAAAATATAGTTCAACTGTTTTTAGATTCCCCTTCATTTTAGTCCTGAGAGCCAGATGGCAAGTCAACAATTACAAGTCGGAACATGTTGGACCTTCGAGCGCCGACGGAATTTATAGATTTGTTATCCCATTTGTTACTAACAATTACAAGTCGCAACAAACTCTTTCCACGTCATTTCTTCTTTAACAGAGTTACAGAGTTACTCCGACATTAATGATAATTATAAGTATTTACATATTCTGTGGGGTTACGCAGAAGCTTCTCTATAAACCTGAACTATTATACAAGTACGTTTGTTGCAGGAATTTACAAATATAAAAACTTATTTAATTTCGAACAATAAATAAATCGACAATATTTTAATTTTTCATCGCTTACCATCATGTCCTTGTTGACAATAATACTTGTATGTTGAGGATCAGCTTTAAGTCTTAACAAAAATTTTAAACAAAAAATCTAAAAATAACTGAAATATCCTAACAATTGAATACTTCATTTAAGATATGCTGATGCTGAGGCTTTGCATATACTATTTCTTTAAAATATAAATAGAAATAGTAAATTTGTTATTTATAACAGGTCATGAAATTAAAGAACAATTTGTTATATTTTTAGCAGGGATAATCAACTACAGTATAACAGAAAACGTTCGTTGGAATGTCTGTGTAGGTATTTCCGGAAACACCACCATTTTCCTTATTAGCAGAATCGCCCCGAAAAGCTGCTATTGTACATCATTCAGTGGCATATCAATCAAGCGAAAATTCAATGCATTTTAAAAATTGGATACCTCTAGTGTACTTACGTAAAAAGTTTGGCTTATAAAATTCTTCATGTGTATAAGTAATTAGTTTTGTTGAAGCAGTTTGTGTGTTTTTGTTTTTAAATTCATTTATTACCTTAGTAAAGTTACGGATGAATAATTTCCGGCAACTTCTCCTCAGAAACTTTTGTTACAGCTTTTGTTTAGCTACATTTTTATATTATGAATATGCTGGGATACATTGTTATCCTGATTCGTTTATTTTAAGGGCATTTTTATTCTGACCAACTGGCATAATTCATAAATTTGGAATAGATGACCGTGCAGTATTTAAAATACCTTCCCTCAGCATAACAAGAGCTGTGCATTCATTCATTCCATCGCCGCCCCTTTTCAAATTACGGCTTGCGGTGGCACTTCCGCACACACATGATGAGTCTTTCTCATCATGCCTCTATCCGCTGCACTTTCTTTGGTCCATTTTCATAGCGAGACAATTTTGTGTGTAATTCTACAATTAGATTCAAAATCATCATGCATTTCGGTTTCTATGCAGTGAGTCTAACATCCATGCCAGATGAGTGCGTGTCCAATGAAAGCCAAACAAGCAGAAGCATTCGTAGCACAAGATACTGCCGTGGATACTGCCGCTTGAGAGCAGCAAAGCTTTAACAGCGAGCAGATGAAAGTGGGCGTTGGGGCAAGTATCATTAAACAGAAAGGCGCGCGCGGCAGTGTAAAATTGAAATAATTGCCAAGATTTGCTAATTACGGCAATAAGTAAAGAAAATATCTGTTGGCAGAGGTTTTCTTACCTGACAGCTCGCCTTTGCCAGCAACTGCACTAAATCTGCAGCGAAGCTTTGCAAGCGCAGCAGCCGGCGGTGGCGGTTGCCTGCAGGCAGCTAAAGCTGCACTTATCATGCATATTACGCTCTGAATAGCCACCAACTGCAGTCAAAAGCAAAATTGGCCTGCGATAAAGCGGATTGGAGCGACCACAACAACAAGAGCAGCAACTGCAACTGCAGCAGAAGCGACAGCGATTGCGATAGCATGAAAAGTGGGTCCAACTCGACTGCTTGGCTAATTGTGGCAAGGTAAAGTGTATAAATTTGACGGCCAAACGGGCGCACAAGATCAGTCGGCTGAGTGGCTTTGAAACGAGATCAACTGAGTTAGGAACGCTGGAGAGATACACAGAGAGGCTGCCAGAAAAAGGATAAAATTATAGCATGGATACGCGCTTTGGTGTGTTCATAGCTCTGCTGTTCGCTGCGCTCTTTATCCAGCGACCTAGTTGGGCGTTAGAAGCGAACAATGCCGAGAGGGACAACGGCCTCTTACACACCGTACGCCACGTGTTTGCGCAATGCGCTGACAGCGAGGATTTATTCTGGTGCTGTAAGCTGCAGGGAGCTCGCCTGCTGGGTCGGGCGCTTAAGGTCCAGCACATTAGCATAGTGGATGGCCTTAATTTGGTGCGAAAGGCGGGCAGTGAAGAGACGCGCACAGGTCGGGCTAGCGCCGATCAGAATAGCCTCAACAATCGCGATCTCGAGCATATGTCGGCCAAGAGTCTGGATGCATTACTGATGGATCGCTTCCTGAGTTTCATGCAGAGTCATCAGTTGCAAGTCAATTTGCCGCGTCTGCTGCTCTATGGGGAGCGCAATAGTCAGAATTGGCTGCAATCGTTGCTGTCCTATTTTTCCCCGGAGACGCTGGACAGCGAGGGACGCAAGAAGAAGGACGATAAGAAGTACTTGGGACCCTTTATTGCTGCCGTCCTACTTAAGACAGCCATTCTGAAAATGGCCTACCATTCTATTGCAATAGTGGCTGGCAAGGCGTTAATTGTTGGCAAAATTGCGTTGATCATTAGCGCTATTATCGGACTTAAGAAGCTGGTGAGCTCCGAGGGCGGCGAGAAGACGACCTATGAGATTGTCAAACATCCGCAAGTGCAACAGAGCCACACCTACTCGAGCAGCCATCAGGGCGAGTATGACAGCGGCGGCCATGATAGCGGCTCCTATCATCGTAGCATGGACGACGAAATGATGATGCAGGATAAGGCCTACCACGCCTGGATGCCCCAGCCAACTCCAAGCAAGGCGTCGCGATAAGCGGACGCCAAACTCCGTCGTCTTCTAATGACCAAAGAGCTACTTTTGAATAGTTATCGAGATTAGTTGAATTTGATGATCCCATTGTATTGTATACCTTTGTTTGGTTCTGACTTTTTAGTTAGTTGGTTGCTGCTTGGCTGCATGCTTGTGACCTTTCCTCCCATTGCCCCACATGATAGGTTAAGTGTTATATGTATGTTAGTTACAATAGGAATTATGAGCTACCGCTATATTTACAGCTGCACACAAAAATACACACAAATACATAAAAATATGTAAACTAGAGAAAAGCACTTGTTGCCGCTCCCTTGTTCTTTGAATGCGCGATTGTTGTCTGGCGCCGTTGGAAAAGCTCGGCACTGGTGCTGGGCTGATAGGCATAGTAGGCGTGTCCATGTGCAGTTGGCATTTCAATTGCCGTCTCGGCGGGCTCCTCGATGAGCTCCATGTGTGCGGAGGAGTAATCGTTGGTGGGCATACTGCGGTGCCAGCCGCTTTCATGACTGTGGCCACCACCTCCGTGGCTACTACCAGCGCTGGTTACGATGACATGATCCGTGCTACCAGTTTGTCCACTTGATCCCTTTTTTAGACTGCCCTGCAACGGAAGCGTAGCAGCTTTGATTTGGGCGAGTTATCTATTCGGGCTTATGACTCACCAGCAGCGAGATGAGCAGTGCTATCTTGGCCATGACGAAGGCGGAACCAGCGATCAGTATTACTTTCCCGAGGAACATTTGCGCAAGGGTCGCAAGCATTATCATGCCGCCCATCATTGCCATGTGCTTATCTTTGTCCTTCTTCTTGCGACCTGTTTTATTGGAGCAGTGTTTATTTTTATTTTTATTCTTGTCTTTCTTTTTCTTCTTCTTATCTTTATCTTTCTTCTTCTTTTTCTTCTTATCTTTATCTGTATATGTATCAGTCTGCTCATCAAAACTACTAAAGCCCGCTATAATTCTATCGATTTTATCGTCTATCAGTCTTGTATATACCGTACCAACCGTACCTTGATCCAAGCCCAGGTCGCTTCCAAAGTCATCAATGGCATTGGATATTGTTTCTCGAGGCACATGCATACGTAAAGCTCGTCTTTGCACCAGATGTATCAGCTTCTCGCCCACACTGTCATTCCGGTCCGCGCGAGCCCCTCGTTGGGCGCCAATTTCAGCCACGGGTTGTGGCTCGACACTTAGAAATTCGCTCACATGCCATGTGCTATTATCGTTTGCTGCCGCATCCAGTATTCGCTCGGCCTCTGCGCCCAAGCAGTGCCACACCTCTCCAGGAAGTGCACCGCCCAAGCACCGTACCAGAATGCGGCCCATGCTATGCGCATTCCAACCGAAGGTCTCGTTTAGCACTTTAGCTTCCGGCTGCGCATGGGGCAGTGTTATGGCAACAACACAGCTGATGAAAAGGTTGACATAAAGAACCGACACGCGCCACATTTTGAATGTGAATTTCGACCCGGGCAAGAGTCACTCAAAGCGTCCGCGATGCTTTTCAAACTTCAAATAAGTCACCAACTCGTCAGTGGGCCAATATATATACGTATAGGCCCTGGAAGCATTTTCTATTTCACCTGTAGCATCGGCCATGACGTCAAGAATTGTCAGATTTTTTGGCAGCCGTAATTAACATGCTTGTCAAAGCGCGACCCACCAAAGGTGCGCTCTCTGTGATAGGAATCTAATAAGAAAAGTTTCGGAAAGTCTTTTGCGCATTTAAATGACAGCAGCAATGCCGGCACAGCGGGTGCTCTGGCTTGGAACTTGGCGGCAGATGCTCACTGAACCATGAAAATGTCATGCCCACATATCTAAATATAGCTTCAAATAGACCACTTTCATTTTGACTTCTGATATAAAAAGCATACGTCAAATGTTTGTACAAATATTTTACTTAAATATAAATTAATTAATTGAACTAAAGAGACTTGGGTGTTCACTTAAATTTGTGCCTAGAGTGCCCTTACATCCACCGCCTGCCAGCCATTCATGGTGGCAGGGCTGTTTTGAAATCCATGCACAAAAGCATTTGAGATGACGGTCTTGTCCTCCATGCTGCTAGCCATTTTGTTAGGTTGATGTCGCTGGTTCTCGAAGTCGTAAAAGCGGTCTTCAGTATGTCGCTTTAGCTCTGCCCCTGAGGCTTCGCGGGGTTGCTCGAAACGCATCTTTCGATCGTTTCGTTTATAAGGCTGCGGAGCGTCATTCACATCGTGCTGATAATGCAGCTCATCGTAGTGCCCATAAACAGATGTTTTGCCAGGGAAATGACCTATTGGTCGATGACCGGGAATGCCGACTCCCAGTCCTCCTCCGATTCCACCAAAACCCCCAAGTCCGCCAAGTCCGCCTAGCCCTCCAAAGCCACCGCCAAAACTACCCAAGCTGCTCACAACGCCACCTAGACCAAGAAAACTGCTTACGTAAATCGCCAATTTGACTAAGAAAAGCGATTTCTTGAGCAGCAGACAAATTCCAGCGAAGAGGAGCGGTACTAGAGCAACCAAATTGAACTTGAGTCCGAGCAAGAAAGGAAGCAGGTATTGCTTGGCCAGCAGACGTCCTACAACATATTAGGGAAATTATTTAAATTATATTGATAAAAATATGATTATTTTAAAATTTATTCTAAGACACAGAAAATAAAATGTATTGGTAGGGCCTGGCATAGTTATAGGGGGAACCCCATCATGTTAGTTTGTTCCTGAATAGAGACATACAATTAAAAACTAGTAATTGCGGTTTAAATAAAATTCACATCTCCCACCCATGTTCAATAGCTTGGATACGCTGTTTATAGTGAGACAAGTCGATCTTCTCAAAATACACACATAACCACTGCAGTCTTCATTCCTCCATTTTTTTTTTGCACATAGCTTTCTCATATCCAGATCGTCTCAGCACTTTTCAAATGCTTAGCAATTCTGCTTCCTCGTCGCTCCTGGCGTTGTTGCCCTTTATTTATAGCTTGGGTTTTCCCTAAGTTTATATTATTGCTATTATTATTAGTTGTGTTACTATTTATATTATCTGATTCATTGTTTACATTGTGTGAGTCTGTAAACCCCTCCAAACTCCGCTATTCAATTCACTTTTTAAATGCATCTATTTTCATTTGTAAACACTCTTTGAATTATCGCTCACCCGTTGTTGGCTCCTCGTAGCCAAATTGTCGTTCATCCTGCACTCCATTGTCTAAAACGAACTCCGCCACACTATTTGCATCCGCTGTGGGTCCAATCTTAAACATAAGTCCCGGGTATATGCCATCCATATGCCACTCGAGACTGCGCTGACCCATCACTGCGCCCGCATTCTCCAATATGCCCCTGAAATCCACAGGGTCTGTGTCCAGCACATTTACCAGAGAACGTGCCGCTGCATTCTCGCTTTTCACAGCCACAAAGTCCTCCACAAAACTCACGTTCTCACGCTCATCGAAGCGTTGAATAAAGTTTAGAGCCGAACGACCCAGACATTCACTTAAGCGTGGACGTTTCGCATCCCGCACGCACTGCTTAAAATTCTGTAGTTCATCTGGACTGACACGCAATAAATCGCTGCTGGCTATAGCGCTGAAGTGGAGCAAACTAATGGAGAATATAAGACCGTCCAATGATAACATTGTGGAAGGGCTCTGCTTTGCCTTCGACTTGAAGTTGCCAACTAGGCGAGTCGCAGGTCAGGTCTCAACAATTTATAGCTGACCACCAACAGCAGTAGCCGAAGCAGCGGCAGCAGCAGCAGCAGTTGGTGGCGATATTATACAATAACATCGTGGGCTTAACCAAATGTGCCTCAAATTCAGTTCAAACTTTTTGCACATGTAACGCGGTGGTGGCAAGGTGGTGGGCCAATAACGGAAATTGTTATACATCGGCTACAGGTCTCTGCTGCTGCTGTTGTTGTTATTATTATTATTATTGTTGTTGCTAGAGGAGCGCGCGCCATGGTCATGGTCAGTGCACACAACTGACTGACCGAACGACCAACCATTTTGGCCAAATTTTCGCACATCAAGACGGTTATGTAACCTTTCCACTACTGTTGCCACAAAATTATGAAATGTCGTATGCTTGATGTGTTGGTTGTTATTGTGGCACGTTGCCCTGCATTATAAATGCTAATTTTGGCCCATTAAACAAACGACATTTTGCGGCATTGCGGCCTAAATACGTCTATTAGACGGACCCTGTTAGCTCAACTAACTTCAAATTGGCTGCACATTTGCCGGCCACATTAAAAACCCAAAATGTAAACAAACTAACGAGCTTATAAAACCCCTTCGGCCCGCACCCGTTCCCAACGATCCAACAACAACGGCCTAGGCCTAGGCGTGAAGTGTAAAAGCGTTGCCTGCTTTTAGGCGGGCGCTGTTAAAACTAAAAGGCAAGTTTGGCGTTGCCAGAGTTCCGGCTTTTGTGCATAGCATAAGCAGAGCTTGGCAGTTACTTTTAAAAAATCATAAGTAGTCAGTCAGTGCGCCCCTTTAGTACCCGTTAAGTAAAAACTTTTCCTTTACTTGTATTCCAAATGAAACTTAACACCCTAGTGAACTGCGTGAACTTTTAAGCCGTCTCCACCCCTCACCTTAGGCAAGTAAACGGAGCAGCATCAGCATTTTGAGGGCAGGCTTATGCTCACACACACAAACACAAATTTAATTTACGGCTTAACCTTTGTGGGAAAACTTTGTCTTGTCTCAAAGTGTTTTTGGTTGTTTTTGCTGCAAACTTTGACAATTGCAAACAGAAAAGTTTATTTGATAAACAGTCAGGCAGAACGCAAGCATGCTAAATCATGGCCATTATACCTAAAGACGCTTGCATAGAGTACTATGTATGAAGTATGCTTTGCTATATGAACTCATGTGTGGCACGCTGTCTGCTTATCGGCTGTTTGCTTGGTGTGGTTTATTTAATGCATTGGGCACGGCTTTATGGAAAAAGAAAAGAAATTGTAACGTATTAATAAACACTTTCACCGGCAATATTTGAAATTCATTGGCTACGCAGCAGAGACATCAACAGCTGCATTTGCGTGCAATGTGCAGAAATTGTTTATAAATATTTAGACATATGGGAGACATGCGCAACCTTTGGCTCCATTGGCCATTTATATGCCACACATGCCAAATGCTACTTGCCGGCTGCAATAAATTGCACCTCGATGTGTGTGTGTGTGTATGTCATTGACATTGCATACACACACACAAATACAGAAATACACACACCCACCAATGACTTGCAAGCCAAAAGCAGGTCGACAACAGAGACTTTCATTCGGATTTTGGAGCGACATCGGATACCAATGAAGAAGACGTGCTAGCCCCGCCAACCAACAACCCAGTGCAAGCGACCCAGGAAGCTATAGGCGACCAATTCTAAGAATGAGCGAATAAGCTACGCCTCAGTGCCGGCTCTGTACCGCGCAGCAAAGCAATGCAAAGCAACAAATAAATAATGTCTGCATGTGGCCAACAAGTTGAAGTCGTAGTTGCTGTTTGTGCTGCTGTTTGTGTTGCTGTTGTTGTTGCCGTTGCCGTTGTTGGTTTTCAAGTGAAATTTGTGCAGCGGCTGTGATTTTGTGTGTCGCACATGCAATTGATATCACTGACCTCGTTTCGGCCTTAGTTGGTAATTTCTTATTAGTGTGAAAACACTCTAAAATGGCAAAAGAGTGAAAGCATTTCACTTAAGCATGCGGCTCACGTTGCGTATGCGCAATGTAGTACAAATTATGTTCAAAATACATAAATGCGGCTTTATTGAGAGTTTTCTTTCTTTTTTCATGCATGTTTGTTTCGTGTTTCTGTTTCTTGAGACGTTTTAAGTTTCAGTTTAAGGAAGGAAAGGGTGGTGTGCTGTGGGCGTGTTACTGGCAGCAGTTTTTGTCAGGCTACTAGCGGCAGTTTATGCAAAGTTTTAGTTTAGTTTTAGTTAAGTTAAAATTAGAGTAAATTACAGTAGTAGTTAAGTAATAAATGTAGTTAAATAGTAAAGCTTTGAGCGCAGTCATGTGTGTTGTGCTTGCCAAAAACTGTAGCGCTGCCCTGATCTATATTCTTCTTCTTATTATTTGTTTCATCTTCTTAAATGCTATGCTTTAACATGAGCTTGTGTGTGTGTGTTTAAATTATTAACAATTGATGGCGGCTTATGTGTAAATAATTTTCTCTCTCTTGCTGAATGAATTATGCTAAGAATAAATTAAATAAATAAAATAAATTAGATGAGCAGTTGAAAAATGTGTGTGGTGCTCTTCCTGCTCCACTCGCTGGCTCTTCCATTTATCTCCTCCTCCTCTTTTTCAATCGCTCGGTCCTTTGTTTCATGTTGTGTTTATTGCACTCTTTTTTTTGCTCTTTCTTTGTTTTTTGGATGAAATTTACTGCTTATACGCCGCGTAGGCCAATTTCTGGGCGTCGCCATGCAGCGCACGTCCATAGCTGTGCTCGTGCTCGTAGTGTGGATGCGCGACGACCTCGTAGTTCTCCTTCTTCGACTCCAGCAGCTTCTTCAGGCCAATGATGCCGGAGAGAAGTAGCGCAATCTTGCCAATTACCAGAGCCTTGAACGAGATCAGAGCCAGGAAACCAATGGCCAAGGGCAACAGGGCGGCCATTTTAAGCTTGAAGAGCAACAGCAGTGGCATCAAATACTTCTTCTTCTCCTTCTTCTTGCCGCGCGCTGCAAGGAGAGTATTGGGAAGGTCGCGTATGGAGAAGGGAGGAGAGAGAATATTTACATTATTTACTTTCGCTTGATTGCATTTTTGTACCGATGGCCAATTGGCACATGCGTTTAAATGGCTGCTCATTAGCAACATTGAAGCAACTGGAGCACAAAACGCTGCACTTAATTAATGTGTGGTGGACAGGATTGACGGATCGACGGATTGGCAAAGTGGCGGACAGCTTTCTACGCGAGCGATTTGAAATTTGCCGGCGATACCAACAACGACGACGACGGAAATTGCAGCGATAACGCGAAAAAAGAAAGTAAGGCTACGGCTCAAAAAGAAATTAATAACAGAGCTAACTAACTGGCGTTTCAACTGATTTGCAACAAGTTTGCTAAGTGGCTTAATGCATGTAGTATGTCTGCTTGTGTTATTAGCTTGTTTGCGCGCCAAATCAAGAGTCAAAGCCATGCAAATTTTGAGCCAAACTTTTGCCAAATGTAATGGGCAATCGGTGTCTGCTGCCGTCTGCGCATTAACATCCTTGCTGAGTATCATGTCTGTGGGCATGACAACACATGCACAGTTGCTTGACGACCTCAAAATACCTGGGAACTTAACAGTGAAAACAGGATTTTGCCACACACACACAGATTTGCAGAGCAGCAGCAGACTAGACGCATCTGTGACTGCTGGCCCCTAGTCAGCGTTCCATCGTCTTTGGCATTGGTAATTGCATTACTAACCCAAATTGGCAAGAAGCATACAAACCAGAACAGCCAGCAAAGCAACAACATCGAGATGAAGAATAAGAAGAAGAGCAGCACAACAACAGTTGCTGCGAGCGCTTGAGTGCTGATTGTAATTGAACCTGTGCCATAATTTATGCAGTATGTGCAATGTGCCGTTGCTCATTATATGTACGAGTATAGTGGTTGCTTGGCCGATCTTCCAACTCATTGACACTGTTACTTACATTCCTCGAGTGCTCGCTGCATGTCCTGTATGGAGTCCTTTGGCACCTTGAATTGCAGTGTGTGCGTGCCAAAGAATCGTGCCACACGCTCCACCAGCAACGAATCGACCTCAGACTCGCGAGCCTCTGCCTCCTCCGGCAACGTGACATCGTTGAGGGCACGACCAACAGGTATCTCGTCGGTCTTCACTAATGAAATGCCCTCGGTGAGACGTACATCACCATTTTCGGTATCAAAATAATGCAATGCACGTTCCTGTTGATGATAGATGTATATGTAGATGGGTTGGGTGTGGGGTTAATACTTTGAGATCCAGCCTCCCTGTCTCGCACATGTTCGTCTTACATACCTTCATGCACAAGACCATCGAGCGTTCGCCACAATCTTTGACCATTTTCAAGGCGCTCGTCAGCAGACTGTCCGCCTCGGAGGCTGCAGCGGCCGTTGAGGCCACCAACGCGAATAGGCACACAAATTTCAACATTTTCCTTTTTTTCGGACTGTTCGCAAAAACACACAAAACACACACACAGTGAGATATTGGCGTTATCCTTTTTGGCTTTAATTCAACTTTAGTTTATTTTTTGGCTTCTTATTGTTGCTGTTGCTTGCACTTTAGGACAAGTGCGTATTTGTTGTTTATTGTTGAGTTGTTTCTTTTAAAATTTTTGATTTTCTGCTTTTTCCGCACTTGATTAAGTGCACTGCGCTCGATTGGATTGTTCGATCTGTCGGTCAGAAGGCAACCGGTAAACTGTGACTAGAAGACGCACGCGGATCGAGTTTTATTCCCGTCCACAAGCGGCCAACAAACGACGGCGACAACAGCATATCGAGCGACGCGGCTGCGAAAGCTAGCTGGCTACGATGCGACCCCCTGCCCTCGCTACCCCCTTTCACCCTCTAGCTCTCTCTTTTACTCTGGCCAATCCCCAAGCGCTTACCACTGGTGGTCACAAACGGTAGCCGAGCTTAGAATTTAAATAAACAACAACCTGGCGATGACGACAACAACAACAACTACAGCGACAACGAAGTCGAAGACGAGCCGAATCGGCTCTGAGTGCAACAATTGCCAGTTACCAGGCTTAAACACACACTCACACACACATGTGCAGGCATATGTGTGATCTGTGTATGTGCATGTGTGTGTGTGTGCTGACTTGGCCAGAGTCGCAGTCGTCGCAGCAGCTGAGCTCGTTTGCCTGCTTTGTCGTTGTTATTATTGTTATTGTTGTTTTGTCAACGCAAACAATTTTTTCCACTCACACACACAGTTCGCCGGGCTACTAGCATGTGTGGCCGCTAATTGTTTGGTCTTTGCGCACAAGTTTTGGCGTTAAATTGACGGGGACACCAACACTTCAAGCTTTATGGCGGCATTTAAAGCGCTTTTTAAGGCTGCTTTATGAACATTAAAAAAAATGGCACGGGTTCTCAGTTTCTTCAAAGTGCAACAATTTTTTTTCTTCTTCTGTTTAGCGAAAATTGGTTTTAAACCAAATGTTTGATATAAATTTTGGGAAAATATTGAACCTTTTCGGAAAATTTAAAATAAAATCAATTGAAAAAATTAAGGGTTAAGTTATTAATAATTTAGATAATTTGTTCCCCTTTGTTTTAGCTTCTTCTAAGCTTTTCAGATCCAATTAAATTTTTTTGAACAATCAATAACATATACAGTAGTAACTCGATTATCTGTTAGCTTCATTACGAATAATCGATAACTAAATTGAAAAGGTTTATTTTTGTAAATCTGTGCCTACAGTTGTCACGACAAGTATTCGTACACCCCCAACTTATAATTGAATGTTGTAAGCAAGCAATTTTAAATCAAAAATCAATCAATCAAGCATAGTAAATACCTATTACATGTGTACTTTTCCTAGAATTACAATGAAATGCATATGTGGCAAAGAAAAAATTTAGTCCAACACAAAAATCACTCACAATTATTCCTTTTCAAAATATTTTAGTATCTTTATTAAATTTTCAATATTTTAAAATAAGTGCATATTTCTTACCTCATTATTGGACACTTGTGGATTAACTTTGTGCCACTCGCCAGCTAATGCAGTTTTCAAGGGTGTCCAGAAGCAGCAGCACCCTCAACCATAAAATTTCCTCCACCATGCTTGACCTTGCTTGCCCTTGGGTTGTTTGTTTGGTGGGTTCATTCGCTTTTCGCTAGTATGTGATTGCTTTTCGCTTAAATGAGTTTGTATTGGATACATTTGCAATTTGTCTGGGTTTGAAATAGAATAGGATTTCGGAGACGGCTGAGCCCACAATCAGATGCACAAGATGTTTAAAATCAACCCTTTGGCATTCCGGCAAACAGAGATTTGAGGTTCGACAGTGTTGTGCATTTAAGCTAAGAAATTCGAATATTATTAAGTAAAATGAATTCATTTCCTCATTTTTTAATTTTTAATTTTGATTATTGAGTTAAAATTTGTGTATGGACATTGGGTTTCTTTTGTTTATTTATTGTGATAAGGGTAATATGGTTTTTTAAGTATTAAATATACATTTTTTAAATTACAATTATAAATGTATTATTCCACTTTTAATTTATCAATTTACTTTAATTAAACAATTTATAAATACTAATCGCAAAATAAAAATGCTGTAACCGTTTGTCTCTGAAGTTAGTTTGTCCCTCGAAGAGTTCTTCCCCAATTGAGCTCAAATTTTAACATATTGTAGAACTGTTCCGATGATTGTTTTAATATATTATTAACAATTCCGCGATGGGCCAAAAATAACAAACAACTATTTTTTGAACTCCCATATGTTTTTTTTTTAATTTTCTCTATATAATTTGAATATGTTTTGATCATTTTGTTTTGTTGCGAATTTGCCAAGTTGCTTAATTTTAGAATTAAATATTTTACTTTAACTTGTAATGCTAGCAATATTGCTACAACAAATAGTATTTGTGATTATTTTGGTGTAATTATTTGAAAGTGTTTGCAAATTTTCTTTCTTTTAAATGCCCATACTAGCAACACATGTTCGCTTTATGTTGAAATGGAGCTCAATTGATTTGCGTTCGACACACTTTCGGTAGCTGAAAAGCATTCGTAAAACGCAAAGATTTATGCAGCAGATGCTCGTCTTGTTGCATGTGTGGCAAGCTGCCTGTCACAGTGCGTACATCATCGCCAGCAGCAGTGGCAGCAGTGGCAGCAACAACAACAATAGCAACAATACAAGCATGAGCAACAACCGCAACAATTGCGAGAAGCGGCAAACCAAACCAGTTGGCCGGTCTATTAGAAATTGCAGACACGTGGCTTGGTGGCGGCGGCGAGACGTAGTTGTGGCTAATCAATGCCGCCGTCGTTGTCGGCGTCGCCCCCGCCGTTGTCAACCACATCGCCGTTGGCGGCTATTAAGATGGATGCAGCGTAAAAAGCTCGAAAGCAAAGCAAGGCAGCAAAAAAAGTGTACTCGCATGTATGTATGTATGTATTTGCAGCTAAATTGGAGTAAAATAGAAAATTAACTAGTTTGCAGTCGTATGAAGAAATTTCACTTTAATTTTGCTTTTTATTAATTTGTTTGCTTTGGTCAAAGACGCGCAGACGTATCTATTTATTGCAGCCATAATGTATAAATGCACGATATACTTGTATATACATATGTATATGTATATACATACATCTGTCTATGTATATATCTGAGTGTGTGTGCATCTGCAATTTCGTATGCCAATCGTGGGCAAATCCGCCGATACATACTTAGTTGCACACGAGTTTCATTTGGAAGCGAGAGACATTGCCATTATGTCGCTTTAATTTGCGGCAGTCATTTCATTTTCGAAAAAATAACCGCACGTTTCTCGCTTTTGTGTAATTTACGCATTAACTGACTGCTGAACTCACTGCCGGACCACCTGATTGGCTGACTGACTGACTAACTGACTGGCTGACTAATTGAAAGAAGAAAGCGGCATGTGCCAAGATTTGCATGCTGTGCTCTGCTGTGCTGGACTGTGAAGATCCACAGATAATCTATGGCCGCAGGTCGACAATAACTCGCCTTCAGTTGTGCCAGAAAAGGCAACGCGTGTATTTTTAATCCCCTACACCAAATTGAGGAGCCACTTAAGTGGCCAGCTTATGTATACTAAGTTTGGGATTTTGTGTAAATTATTGTCTGCAGGTTGACACATCGAAGGGCATAAATTGTTCGACTTGTGGGCAGCTGCTTTGTTTTTATTTTTCAACAAAATTATTTTGCCCTCATGCGTGCGCAAAGAAAGTGAAAACTCTCGAACAAAAAAATATGGAATCGTACAACAATTTAATTCGAGTTACGCACTTTATATGCAAGGCTTACGTAATTAAAATATATACTTCCATAGATCTCAATTGTAGTAGAAATTGAAAACCTCTGCATTTCGTTTTCTTCCTTTTTCAAGTGGAACTTCAGAATTCAAATTATGTTGGGGAAAGGAAGAAAATGCTGTAAAGATTATAATATTAATAATAAAAAAGATTATATAATAAATAAATAAAGAGGTGACATTAAACTCACTTTAAAGTACACATATTCGTAGACAGAAAAGAAAATCAAAGACATTGGCTAGAACGACCCTAAACCTTCGTTGGTTGTGCAACAAGTTTTTTTATTAATTAATCAAATACTTAGTATTGCATTCAAAGGTGTTGAGATGAAGACTACCATGCTGGGCGGAAAAGCTCAAATACATATTTGAAAAAGCCAACGTTTACCCATGGAATCAATTATATTTGAACATTAAAACATAGTAAAGAGAAAGGAGATTCAAGAAACGCATTTTCTATTTTGAAATTAGGATATAATATACTTAGAATATTTGAAATTAAAATTTTTTTTTTGCAAAGAATTATATGTTCGCCAAATTTTAAATGCAGTTTATTTTTAATTTTGAATACGTATAATAAATCAATTAATCAGTATCTTTCAAGTAAGGCATCTCCAATGCCAATTCTTAAATAAAAAAGAGGTCCTGGCCATGTCATCTTCTTTGAGTAGGCATGCTCCTGATTCGAAACTCTGTCTGTATGTGCTGTGGTGTAGTTAGAAACAGAAAATGTCCCTATATCCAAATTTCCAGTCTAAAACTGAAACTATGTCAAAGTTCTTAGTTCGTAGGTGAATTGAAAATTATGTTGCATATTTCGAATAAATAAATAAATGCAGACTAATAATTTGATAAGTAATTTGCAAGTTTGGTCTGTAACTTTGTAACAGACTTTGTCGCAGACGAGGAAACCATATAAGCTGTTTCTTATGATGATTTGAATGAAAATTTTTTTCAAACTATCGCTATAATATGTTTTATTGCTTACATCAGAAAAGTAAAGTGGCAGCTTAACTCGAAATATTTGGCACATTCCATCTGTTTGCCAATTAAAGCCACTTATGGCCTTAATGGACATGCAAAACAAGCGACTGCTTATTATCGGCCTCTGCAGGTAAACATTTCGCACCTCGGACGCCCCCGTTAACAGCTGCCCAACCCTTCCGGTGGCATCTTTCAAATTGACACCTTTTAAAAAGTTTCACTTTCATTTTCGAGCCACTGCTGCCTCCACGACGATAGAGTGACAGGCGGTAAGCGGTAGGCGGTAGGCGGACAGACAGATAGACAGTCCCGTAATGCCAATTCCGGGTAGCGAAGCTGTCATGTTTACACGCCGACATCACTGCGCTGCGCTTGAGTAATTTTCAATTAATGAAAGTGTTGCCCAAGAGCTGTGGAAGTGGATGTGGCACTGGCAGTAGCATTGTCAGTCGCAGTCCCAAGTCTCCGACGCAGGGCATGATAGTCTCGTGACGTCAATGAAAGTAAATGGCGCCTAGAGGAAACAAAATGGCGCATCTTAAAGCCAACTTAATCGTGATTTTAGAAGTTAGCGTGGGAAGGTCGTTAAATGAAGCGATAAACGGTCAGGTTCAATGTTCTGCCCGACACTCCATTACAGTGGCTACGGTGGCTATAGTGGCTCATTAATATTTTGAGCAGCGGCTCAAAAGTGAAAATGTCGCATACCTCAACAAATAAAAGAAGAAGAAATGTGAGTAAAGACGAATGTACACTCGGGCATATTTTATCTATGAATATTGCAGTGGACTTTACGAGTCGCGTTCTCTGTATTGAGGGATTTCTGGTAGAAAGCGAACAGCCAACAGTTACTTCTTGTTTTTGTTTTTGTTTTTCTTTTTAGCACGCACGTAAGCGCTTTTCGAAAATGTTATCATAAATTCAGGGAACGTGCGAGGCGTGGCGCCCAAGCCACAATCGCCGATGGTCGCGTACTTTGGTCAATTCGATTCAATCAAAGGCAGGCTGTGCTAAGACGGTTTTTTTTTTATAGCAAAAAGTATAAATACTATATTTAATTAGCACTTACTTAAGACCTAACACACACATTTAGTTCATTGTAGTTATTATTGTTGTTTAACAAGTAGATTAGATGCATTGTAAATTAAACTAGACATTATTCAGACAGTTCGTGCGGCCAACGCTTCTTTGGTTTTTCCCATGCCCCAACGCTCCTTCTCCATCTCCTCCTCATCTTTCCCTTCCCTCTCTCTCTCTCTTTCTCTCTCTGCACTTTCGGCAAATACAAATGCAATTTTAGCAAAGTCCCTCACATGCTTTTTACGGAACTGGCAGCCATCTCCTTCGCAGGTTTCCAGCCGCTATAGGCCATGTCGAAGTCGCGTCCCCAGCCCGAGTGGCCGCCAGAGGAGACGACAACTTCATGTGAGGATTCCTTGCCGCCGCCACCGCTCAGCAGTTTCTTGATACCGATGATGGAGGCCAGCACCAACGCCAGCTTAGACACAATTAGCGCCTTGCCTGCCAGCATGGCCAGGGCTCCGTAGGCAATGGGCACGAAGGTGCCGCCAAGCAGCAGTGGTATCATGATCATGGACCCGTTGCCCTTCTTCTCCTTCTTCTTGCGGCCCTCCACAGAGTTGCCAGAATTGCTGTCTTCGGGAAATTTGATCTGCGAGTTAAGGTGATTGTTAATGTCAGTCATTTTTCAATTAATTCAAAAATCAATGCTTGAAACTTTGTAATTTGATCACGAGCTTAAGGTTTGTTGGCGCTGCATTTATGTTCGAGCTTTTGGAGTGGGGGTCTAGTGTTTCGTCAAACTAACAACATGTTCGAAATAAATGAATACAAATGAAAATGAAGTTAGAGATTCGGAAAATTCTTAAAAAATATATAGATCGATAGTTGCAGTTGAAACTTGTTATTTATAACAGCAATCACTAATTTTAATATGGGTCGGTGGGGGCCCTAATCAGAAATTATTCTGGTCGAAATTATTGCAGAATTAACTTTATGTTGCACACATTTTTTAGTTGTTTTCATGTCTATTAAATAAATTGCTGTACCAGATGTATTTCTTTGTCATAGCTAGCAATTTTTATTATGCCTCTATCTCAGATCAAATTTTAAGCTCCTTTGCTTACCTGCAGCGTGTGCTCTTGAAGAAAGTTGCCCAAGCGCTTCAGTATCATGTTGTTGAGCACCTGCTCCTTGGCATCGGAGCTGCGTGGCAGCACGGCCTCGATATCCTGCTCACTAATGGGCGGCAGCTTGGCCCGTTTGCTGGCCTTTTCGCCATCGTCGTCAAGATTGCTGACGAATTGTATGCCCTCGTACAGTTGCAGTGACTTGGGCATGCGGAAGGCCTTCTCCAGTCCTGTCAGCAGCTTGACCTTGAGGCAGACGGACATTTGCGCGCCTACGCATTGCTGATAGATGCGATAGACGAGCGACATGTCCTTCCAGAAACCACTCGATAGGGAACTGGCGCCAGAGGTAGCGGCCTGTGGTTCTTCATTCTGCTGCTGGGATTGTTGGTGTTGATTTTGTTGTTGGTGCTGGAACTGCTGCTGCTGTTGTTTCTGTTTTTCAAGGCCATTCAAGTGCTGATAGCTGCCGGCATTGGCGCTTCGTGCATGGGTCGTTTGAACCCAGCAGAAGACAATCATGAGGGCAGCCACATGCCACACGTATTTAATCATGTCTGTGTGGTGTTGATGTCGCTGCAACTTAAACTGGTTGAGTAGTATGATCCTTTTGGGCTTATCCTTTGGGCACTCATTCACACACATACACTAGCTTAAAATACTGCACTCACAGCTGTGCCTTCAGATGCTCGACTGAATGCTGGCAAGCGCATCATATGCATTTTATACCACATCTTTGCAACTCCTCCGACTAATTGTTGGCTTGCTGCATGTCAAGCGGCCGCTGAAATTGAAAAAAAGATTTTGTTTTAGTCTAAATATCACGCCAATTAGCCGGGCTGGCCAGCAAACACGTCTCTACCTCACCCCCTGTTGCTGCGCTTTCGTGATTTTGTCGGCACTGCTGTTGCATGCAACATTCACCGCCGCGGATTTCATTTGTAATTAAACTCAAGCATTTTGCGCTGCACCTCAAAATTTGCAGTTCGTTCTAAGCTATTGAGTTTTCATGTTTAGCCGCCACCGGCACCGCCGCCCCTGACGCCGACGCCTCTGTCGGTGAGCATGCGTGACTGCCAATGCCACTGGTTGCTGCTCCTCTCAGTATATTGATGGCAGGAACATATAACTGCGTGTGTAAGTGTGCAGAGAATTCTGTGGGTTAGTAGACCGCAACAATTTAGCTTACATTTTAATGTTTATTTTGCAGATTCACTGATGGCCACTTAAAGAGTGCTTTTCAACTGAATTAACTTTTCTTTTTCATGTTTAAAGCAACGCGGCAAAAACCTGTGGCATACTTTCCAGCGCACAAGTAAAAAGTATTTAAACGAAAGAGTTAAGACACAAACTCACCGAACGAAAGTCTTAAAAGCTTACAATTATTTGCTTTCGATGTTAATAGCAACGCTTACTGTTATATGAAGATGTTAATTATAAACAGCAATGTTCAAATTGAAAAACTAAATACAAAACAAAATATAAATGGCAATCGATGACAAATATTTGTATTATACAAGTAGGGCGAAAATTAATTGCTATTACCGTTTCTTATTGGCATAACAGTGTGCTCTCCACATCCATAAAGGTTTTAAAGATACAGTGAACAGAGAAAGAAAACTTCTTCCTTCATAAGTTGCTTATTGTTAATGTAGACTGCTTTACACTTCGAGGGCGTTCTAATTTTGCAGTTCCCTGCAGACCAGACTATTTCTAATTAAACTTGTCTCGGTGCATGATTGACTACATTTAGCACAATCTTTGAAAGTCTATACATTTGGATCATAATTAATAAAGATTCGGTTTAATAATATAATTTGTGCTTAACAACGAAAGCAAATGTAAAGGCTTTCTGGTCAGAAGTCGTTTCCTTAATAAAAAGGGAATATTCCAATATTCCAATAAGGGATAATTCCAATATGTAAGGAATATTTAAGTAAAGCAGCTCTGTGAGCTTTGTTATTAGTTATATTTTTTTTGCCAAATCTCTACAATTAGCTACGAAATTTTATTCAAAACTTACATTACGTGCAAATTAACAAATCATAATTATATGTTCTGGGTTATATACGCAATTTTTGAATGAAATTGATGATCGAAAATGATCGAAATGAACGAGATAATCGAACATGATCGATCGAATTGATGCCCCAGTACTATTGGAGTCTGAATTTCTAGCAAGTTACTTAAACTTACTTACATTTGGAAATCACTATTAAAACATACTAAGCATACAGTTCGTAATTAAAGCTAACGCTAAATGAATAAAGTTCAATTTGTACTAATTGAACGAAGTGTCTCTGACATTGATTCTCTAAGAAACTGCCTAGCCGTACCTTTATTTAAGTTCATTCCACCGAAGCAACCAATAATGCTTCACTAAATGCTCAACTTAGCGCTGCAACGCTCGCTTATGCAAAATCAATGGCTAATGCAAAATAGTCACGCAATCGACTGACGTCTAGGTGGTGGTCAATCGACCATTTATTTAACCACTGGCAATGGCAACCAAACAACCAATCGACCGAGCGACCACCACGCAACCCACCATCGTTCAGATCAATTACCCAACAATTGTCCAACTGTCGTTAAGTGATTGAAACGTTAACATACCATAGCGTTTATTTAAATGGCCAACAACTATGAATCGGTCGAGCTTACTTGGCCAAGTTACAGGTGCAGTGGCAGCCAAACAAAACTGTACAAATACCTAATTAACTTTCAATTAATCATCAGCATATATTTATACACACATGAAGCCGTGTGCATGATCCGCTATGAACAATAAGATTACAACTGGAACAACAACAGCAACAACAATAATAATCATAGCATCCATAAATTGTGCGTGTTTTGGTAAAAATTATAATTTTTACGCGCGCTCGCCAATTTTAAAGCAACTGAACCGTGGCACATTCATTTGAGGATAGCACTGTGGGAAAACGTGCTAGACCGGAAAATTACAGCAACAGCAACAAATGGTATACAAACACTTAATAATATGACGATTACACCGAGCAACAAATTCTTCTTTGGAAGCATTTGGTACTGTTGTGGAACCGATGACAACAATTATTATCCAATTGAGTAAAATTTAGCAAATTCAAAATATAGAAAGAATATTTGCAGTAAATATTTTGTAATTAATTGAAAAACGCTTAATACAATGACTATACTTTCTTTTATTAGCCATCTTGCATCAAATTTAAAAATTTTATATTAATATTATACTTTTATATTAATATTTAATTTCCTTTCCTATTGGTAATTACATTTGATAATATCCTTCATCTTAAAAAATACATAACTTAAGCATTGTTTGAAAAGTGGGTAATAGGAATATTAAACATATTTAAATTATCAACAACAAGTTAAGTTTGTTTGTAGGAATAGTATGAAATAGTTGGTGTCTCTTCTGTGTTCACTGCTATATGTTAGGTTGATAGCCAGATCAGAGAGACTGTGTCGAGCCGCAAAAAGTTTTATAATTTAACAGACCGTTGCCATACCTAGCTCCATTTGCATAATAAAGGTGCAGAGGTAATCGTTTAGAAGCTCTGCAGTACCTCGAGGTGGCAGGAAAAAATCTCACCATTCCCTTTACAGATGAGCCGACTTTTCAGCCCACTGATTCGGCCAAATTCATCGACCTGCTGAAATTTTACATTTCACGAGACAAATTCAACTTTCCAACCACTGTCGTTGCAGGGCAGAGGACATCGGGAAAGCCAAAAAGCTGCCTACAACCAAAATTATGGTTGTTGTGGTTTTGTTATTTTTTATCAAATATTTAATACTTTTAAATGCAGTTTTATTTTATTAAGGCCACTCTAGAACCTTGTTTAAGTTGTTTACAAATGGTCGTTTTAAAAGATATTTTTAAATGTAATAGTTTGGAAAGATAAATAAATCCTTTATTAGCTTCTACCATTTATTTGCCTTAGAACTCTTGTACTGAACTTTTTTAATGGTAGTTATTGTTTAAGTCAACAAATTCTTAACAAATTTTGTTTGATTTTGTTGCTTAGTGTCCCGGTTACAGGCGAGCTAGTGTTGAGAGTGCGCGCATTTGTGGCAGGTGATTTGTTGAGAGTGCAGTGCAAGGCCAGATTGCAAGAAGAGTCGCTAAGCCGTTGCTTTTAGCCACTTGTGGCTGTTGTTGTTGTACCTGCTGCTGCTGCTGCTGCCACTGCAGTGTGTTCTGCTGGCTTTTATGAATTTTGCGCATTCTGTGGCTGGCTTTTTATCTGGTTTTTTAGAATGTGACGCCAACAGTTGCTGCACCAGTTTGGGTTGCACGAAATATTTCTTGTTGTTGTTTTTGTGGCGGCTTGCATTTCTCTTTCAATGCATAGCGGCAGTTAGCGGCATGTAGCCACACAACGGTAAAATGTTCCAAATCAGCAGCGGGCGTGCTGCTTCTGATGCGGCTTCTGCTGCTGCTTTCGTTTTGTGTTTGATTTGCGGTCTGTGCGTAATTTGCATAAGTCAAAAATGAAAACCTAAACAAAAAGGCCGGCCAACGCACTTAACGACATTTACATTTACATACCGCACACAATTGATTGACCAAGTGTTGCTGTTGTTATTGTTGCGGGTGCTGTTACCTTCATCAAGCAACTGCCTAGCCATTCTAATGATGCCTCGATGGCACATAAACTTTTTTGCTGTTACTCTCTGAGATGATGATGACGATGCTGCTGCTGCTGCTTGTTGTTCCTATTCTTCTTTTGCTCACTCGCGCCATTTGGTGTCACATACTTGCCCACTTTTAACTGACTTTTTGTGCCAAATTCGTCAGTCTATTTCTAAAGCATTTTGTCTTTTTTATGATTATGCGTTGCCACAGACAACAGCCAGCCATCGGACACAGTACAGCTCAGCTTGGCTATATTGAAATTGCTGACAAGATACGGATAATCCTGATATGATCTGTGAGACTACAGAAATGTCTTCTAACTCATCTACAACTCAATTATTATTGTCGCCTTTAATGATTTGTTGGTACACGTATATAGTTGCTACGTGCCAGTTGCTATGAAGTGTAATCCGAATAAAAGAATTATTAAACTCCTATTAATGAGTAAATCACTCTGCAGATATCTAAAATCCACTTCTTCATTAATTCGATATAATAATGAAGAAAAGAAAGGTGGCTTATTTATGGGCGCACCTGTTGCCGAGATGTACACAAGCCCCATTATTTAATAACAAACGGATACTCCACAGGAATAAGGGAATAAAATTCCATTCCTTACTTCTAAATAAATTAAATTTATTAGATTTCAAATTAATTTCAATGTTGCTTTTCCCAATCAGTGGCCTATCCTTTGGCTTTTTAAATTTGTAGCTCGCGAAGCAAAGGTTTCATGCTGAATACTTATTCAGCATGCAACTAACTTCCTCTCTTTAAGCATACTCGTAATAAGTTAAAGTTCTTATACGATTGTAATTTATTTCCATAAGGAATATGCGAGCTGGTTGGGGTAGATGAGACACTGCAGCATTCATTAATCAAAACTATTCAGGTTAGTGGCTGAGCAAGCAAAGTTTCGGTTGAAAAAGTTTCATATTAATCCAGCAAGAAATTCAAAGTTCGTTACCAAATGTTTGGAAATAGTTTTGAATCTATGAGCGTAAAAGGCATGAGATGTTTTCAAATTTAAATGTATTTTATAGTTGCCATTCACTGATGAGGCTAAAAGCTTATTGACGCAGATCCGTACTTATGCACAGTTTATAAGAGAAGAAAGACTTTTAAATAACAATTGCCTAATTAGTAGCCACTATAGCAAGGGTTGACTGTGCTCAAGTTGATTGTCTTCGACGATGTTTACTTTAGCGACGCTGCCGTGCACTCGCCAGAGTTGGTCAAATGAGTTGTTAACATTAGCGCGCATTAGCTGCTTGCCTCTTGTTTTGTGTTGGCCCATTCGTTGGCCATTCGGTGGGCTGCCTGCCTAGTTGCTTAACTTTTTTCTTTCTCTCGCACACATTTTTATGGCATTAGTAGGGCCAAAACGTTTTTAGCTTAAACAGCAGTTTCTTGCCTGCCAGTTTGTTGTGATGATTGCCGTTGTTGTTGCCATTGTTGTTAGGCCATGTGCTACCAATTTTTTGTACGTTTCTTTATTTTGCTGCTGCTTTTCACTAAGCAAATGATGCACGTTTTTTATTGCATTTGTTGGCATTGTTGTTGTTGCTGTTCTGGCTGTTTACTTTCACTGTTCGTTGTCCGCCAAAAAGAAAAAAAGACAACGGAAGTTAACAACGCACGCTTTCTGCCACATTTTTGTGAGTTGTTGTTGTTGTTGCTGTTGCTGTTTTTTTTTATTGATTGCTTGCTTTGCATTAGCCCGCACCTGTCTTGTCCAGTTTATGGCTTTTGGCCAACTCTCAAAACTGAACTCAAGCAGCTCAGCAGCCCATAATTATTTACACTTATTAACTTTTGCTCTTTAAAATTTTGCCTGGCAGGAAGGGCGAGCAGGTGGCTGGGGGGCACATAGGCAGCAACTGGGTCGCAAATCAATTTTCACTCGAAATGAAAGCACTTTTGGCTTCATGTGGCGAGCTCGCATTGTGACCATACCCGTAGATAGATTTGTCAACGGCAAGAGGCGACAACGGCGATCTGGCGATGACGTTGATGATGATGACGACTTCGGCTCCGACTCCGACTTTGACTTTGACTCTGGTTCCGACTCTGATGACTATGACTGGCATTATGCATGAGGCCAACGACGAAAATTGATTTCGTTTTGTGCACCATCCGCTGGCCGGCGTTTCGCTTTCTCCCCCAGATTGTCCCAAACAACAAAAAGAATAGAAAAGTGTGGGATAAAATCGACGATTGTGTAAAATAAATTATTTCTGTGTTATAAAGTTTTCATAGATTTTTTATTATTATTTATTTATTAATCTTCCTTATTAATTTTTTTGTTTTGTTTTTCTTCATTTTTTAATGACATGCATGTATGACAGAGAAAAGGTATTCGTTTTTTATGAGTGTAAAAAAAATTTACATTCTTTATGTGAGTTGCCCACATCTGCAGCTTCTACGCTTATTGTTGTTGCTGTTGTGAAAGTGTTGTACGATTCTTCTTAAGGAATATTTAAATTAAAGTAGACAGGCGACTTGGACGACGACGACTCTTTGTGGCTAGACCCGCAGCGCTTTCAAAGTTATAAACGAATATTTTTAAATGCAATTAAAAATAAGTTAAATACAGTGCAGAGGCTGCTGCAGGTGGCGCCAACAACAAATCGCCGACGATGCTGCCGACATTGTTACATACGAGCATATAAATATTTATATATATATATAAATAAATTAATAAAAACAAAAAATATTACAGTGAACTATTGTTATAGAAAACGTACACGCAAGAAAATGTTTCAGAGTATGCTGTGCGGTTGGTTTGTTTGTTTGTTGTTGTTTTTTTTTTTTTTTGGAAAGTAGAGCGTTAGAAAGTGACAGATAGACGAGCGTATAGATGAAGGTGCGCAGAGAAATGAGAAAGTTGAAGAGTTGAAGTGGAAGTTGAAGTTGAGTTGAGTTGTGAAAAGTCACGTTGACGATAGAAATGAGTTCAGTTTTGTGTGCTGGAGGTGAGGCAGGAAAAACTATGGCAAGTTATGGCGTGCATATTAACCAAAACTATGACTCAAGAGAGTGAGAAATAGAGAGAGACAGCGACAGTGTATAAAAGAGTCAAAGATAGAGAGAGAGAGTTTAGAACAGGAGAGTAGTAATACGTAGAGAAAGAGACAGTTGTATAGTGATAGTTTAAAGCTAGTAGTAGGCATGCTTGCTGTTGTTGTTGTTGTTGTAATGTAAGACTAGAATTGCATGTGAAATGTAGAAGTAGTTGAAATAGTAAAGTAGTATAGTATAGAGTCGATTGTAGAACGTAAGAGTAGCATAAGTTTTAAGATTTGTACGTTAGAGACGGCTGCATTGCAACCGACAAAGTTTTGGTATAGTCTTTAGAATGATAGTGATAGTTAGAGTAATGGAAGTAGATAGAGATGTAAAGAGACAGTGACAGTCGACAGTGACAGTTGACAGTGACAGTTGACAATGACAGTTGATAGTTGATAGGCGCGTCGTGACAGTATGAAGGAGTGCATGAGTTCTTCCAGTGACAATGACAGTAACAGATGCAGCGTCAATATAAGTGAGAGAAAAGAGAGTTAGAGAGTATGTAAGAGAGAGAGAGAGAGTGAGAGTGAGACAGATAGACAGAGGTTGTATAGCGTCAGTGCCATGTGCGTCAGGGTGTGCTGCAAAATAGAATTTTCGGCAGACCTGCTTAGACTTAACAATGTGCTTAAGGCTCAACGGCTTGCCTGACTTATTCTGAGTATTTGAAACGTTGTCCAAGTTCGTGCTTGTGTTTAGGTACCGACTTCAACTCTCGCTTGGTTTTTTACAACTTAAGCTTAGCTTTATAAGATACGACCTGTGGTTGGTTATTAGAGACGACAATATTAAAAAACTAAATGCACAAAATGCACAAAAGCTGCTGCTGCTCAGCTCAGCATTACAAACTTAACGTGGCTTCCCTTCCTCCTCTCCTATGTCCTCCTACTATGTCCTTTTCATCATTTTTTTGTCTTGGTTTTTCTTGATTTTTGTGCGTTTTTTTTTTGTGGAAAATAAATAAAAATAAATTAAATTAATAAATTAATTAAAACGAACGATAAATAATGTGTCTGTGTTTGTTCTCCTCAAGAGTCTGTTACGTCGTCGCCTCCTCAGGGGCGTGCGTTTGAGTCAGTGGTTGCTTGTGATGCGTTGTTTTGTTTAGTATGGTTGTTCCTTATGATCTCGGGGTTGTTATTATTGACTGAGCCATCTTAAGCCTGCTGGGGCTTCTGGGCACCGTAGGCCAAGTCCTGGGCATCGATGGAGCGGCCCCAGCCGCCATGTCCAGAGCTGCCATATGAAGCGGAAGCACCCGCATCGGCGCTGTAGCCGCTGCCGTACGAATCGTGGCTGACCGAGTGGCTGGCGCTGTGATGGGGATGGGCCACCACCTCATAGGTGACATGTTTCTCCTGCGAGAGCAGCTTCTTCAGGCCAATAACGGCCGACAGCACCAGCGCGATCTTACCAATCAACAGAGCCTTGCCGGCAATCAGAGCAATGGCGCCCAACAGCAGGGGCAGCAGAGCAGCAGCCTTCAGTGCGACAAGAGCGAGAATGGGGCCCAAGATTTTGGCAGCCTTCTTCTTCTTGCCACGGCTCTCCTCAGGCGCATTGGGATCGTTGGAGCCGAAGAGCGACTCGGAGGCATCTTCCAGAGCGCGACCAGTTGAGCTCACAGCCTGCACAATATCGGCGCCCTTCAGCTCAACCTTGATGGTGTGCGAGTTCAAGAAGCTGGAGATGCGATTGAGAGCCAACGACTCGAACGACTCATCGCCGGAGATGGAGCGTGCAGCCTCCTGGGCGGGCGCATCGGGGGAACGCACCACAGTCACACCCTCGGTCAGAGCAAACTGATCGCGAGCGCCGAGCACCTTGTCAACGAAGTTGAAGAGCTTGTACTTGACACACGACACCGAATCCTTGCGCAGGCAATCACTATAGATGCTATCCATAATGTCGTTGTCACCGCCACCGACTGCGTTGCGCGCATGGCCGCGCGTCTCCTCGGCGGGCAACGCCGTGGCCAAGGTGACCAAACACATGATACCGAAAATAACTATTTTGTTTGACATTTTGTTGGTGTTGTTGTAGTTGTGGTTGTTGTTGTTGTTAATTAAGCACTTATTCAAGTTTTTGTATAGTCCTTCAAGGGCTGCACACCACTTTGAATTATGTTTTATATTGTAATTAAAATTTTGCTTGATTGTTTGTACCGCACACAAAACGACGAACGCACTTTCTCTTTTTCGCTTGTCGCACCGTGCCACAAAAATTGTAATTTATTTTTCGGCTGCTGTGTTGCTGCTTTGACGAGTAAGGATGAAATGATACAATTTTCCAATGGACTCGACAATTTATATAGGCGGCATGCTCACAGCCGATGCCATAAGTGCCCGAAGAAACACAAAAAGAAGAAGCAGAAGCAAAAGCAGAAGTCGTAGCCAGCGAGTCGCAGCGCAGAGCCAACGAAAGCATTTCTTCTTCTCGGCCCCAAACTAGTCGTGCAAGTTTCTCGCCTAAGTCTTTCGTTTGGCAGCGGGCAACGGTAACGCACTGCCACTACCTCTGCAGCAGTCAGCAGTCGTCTTCGCCGCCGCGTCGAGGTCGACTTCCATGGCTTGGAAATATGTATGTTGCTACTATTATTTGCTATTGCTGCTGCTTGTAAGCCATGTGCTGCCTGTCTTCGAAGCGCGCTTCACTCACTCCTCTCTCGCTGCTTTCGTGGCGCGTTGCAAGTTCATGTAACATTGTCAACGCCGACAGCGCAGCCGGCAGCACTTCAACTCTATTGTGCCTGCCCTGGGTGTAACTGGCGCTGCCACACCAACTAATGTGTTTCTGTTTTAGGCGTGTGAGTGTGGGAATATTTCCGAAAGCCTTGCGCACTGATTTCCGTCAAACTGGCCAGTTACTTTTACTAAAAACCGCATCTAATCTTAATTGCTTTTAAATTGAAAATTTTAATGAATTTTTTGTTTGATGCAGTGACAAGCCAGTGATGGCCAAAGTAAAAGCATTTCCCTTTCGTAATTGAAAGTTAACTGCGACTCGGCTCGCATTGTGAATGGTAATTGCAAATTGCAAGCCGAATCTTCAGCTCCAACTCCAGCTCCAGCTGCAACTCCTGTGATTGCAGCCGCGTATTGTATATTCTTCTCGCCTACCGTTACTTGCACTCAATTTGCCAAGCCAGTGGCGACATTTGCTACACACTGCATGTTGCATGCTGCATGCCGCATGCCACATGCCAAGCTGCCAATTCTAATTCAATAAGTGTTCGAGCCAACCACCAGGCCAAGTGACAAGTGTGCACTGAAGCGGTCCACAATGCACAGGTGCAACTACTATTTTTTTCGCCAAGCCTCATTGGTTCAACATCTCCAAGCCATACACTCAGAGAAAAAATGCAAATAAAACAACTTTTGTCGAACCCCAACAAATTTAAAGATTATTTTTTGATAAATGTTAAAATAATACCCCAAGTTAACTTTTGCAAGAGTAATACAAATTTTATTTGTTGTAATAAATATATTTGTACTACTATTATTATTTTTACTAGTAGTATTACTGTTATAAATTGTTCGCTTAGTTTGGTTAGAAAGTTGACAGTTGTTTTCTTAATTTTATTTTTAGTTATATTTGTACTAAATAAAGAACACATAATAAATTCTTCATTAAATGGTTAGAAATAAATACTGAATATATAGCATACATTTTTATTTATTTATTTATTTATTTAATTAATAACAAGAAAATGAAAATGATCGCTAAAGAAAATGCAAATATTATGTCTGTCATAAATAGAGGGAAGGGAAAGAATTGTGCCAAAAGTGTGTTACATAATTTTGAAATAATTATGTTTAGAAATTCTTTGTGATAAGCAAAGCAAAGCAACTATTTTGAATTGCAATATTTAAGAATTTTAATAAAACATAACTATTAATAAGTACATATACATACGAAAATTATCGAATATTTAATCCTAAAAAACCTAAAAAGTTGATATAGAGAAGAATATTTGAAGGATATATACTTAAAAGTTTATTCTTCATATTAACCAATAAGTGTAAGCCTTACTGAGACTATTGGTTCTGTTCATGAATTGTTTTTTTAAGAAACCATCCTTATGCTTCGGGCCTCCGCCACCATTTGTGCCCTTAGGTGAACTAGGCTCTTCAATCTTTCTCCTACCTTCTTTCTAAAATAGGTCTTGTTAGGTTTAACAACAACAAAGCTGAAATAAAAAGAATATTTTGTAATATATGCTATTAAAATATCCTAAATGTAATCTAAATAGCTTCAACGTCTAATGTAGTAATTTTTATGAGTGTATTCTGGACATAAAGCATAAAGCACCTTAACGCCATTTAGAATTCAAGTTACATAAAGGCATAGTCCCAACTTTCGAGCTGAGCCAATTGGGAAGAATGCAGATATCTATCGCTAAGCACAACAATGCCATTGACAATAGCAATAATAATAATAAAAATAATAAAACTAGTAACCCCATTCAGTTATCTCTGTAAATATGTTTTGTGTTTATGTTATTGTTGTGTGTTGGTCCACGAAAAAGGGAAAGTAGCGACACATCTTTCTGTGGCATGCCATGGCTGCAGCGCATGAATCGGGGACTCTGTGGCGGTGGCTGTGCCCTTTTTTGTTTTTGTTGTTTTTTGTTTTGATTTATCTGAAACTGGTCGCACATTTCTGCATAAATTTGTGTGCAAATTTCATGTAAATACGAATAAAAACATCTAAAACAAACAGCAGTCAGTTGTGAAGCTGATGTTCCCCTTAACAGCGATGAGATGTGTGTGCGTGTGTGTGCGTGTGTGTGTGTGCGTGGATATATGTGGTGTTAGCTTGAGTTATTGACACTTGATGTGAGTGCAAAGTGTGCTGAAAGTCAATTGACAAATACAGTAGCCAAGCTGCCAAAGCTGCAAGTAAAAGTGCGCAAATAGACTGCAAGATACGGAGAGGGACAGGAGCGGGGGCTGTTGTGCCATTGCGCATAAATGAAAGTCATCAGCGAGAGTTTTTTGCTGTAGTTGTTGTTATTGTTGTCGTTGTTGTTGTTGTTGTTGTAAGCCTGTTTGTCGAAACTGTGCAAATGACCGCGTACAGGATATGGACAGAGCTGCGGCCAGCGACTGTCATTGACCAGCGCAGCAGCGACAGAGACGTTAAGTCTATGGCTTCACATCTTCATCTGGCAGATCGGGCACTTCAGGCACGGTTGCCGCTTTTCATTATGCATATGCATGAAAGTGTTGAAAATAGTTAATTAAAGTGTTATGAATGTGTGAAAATGCAATAAAAAGCGCTTATGAATTGGGCGCAGCAGCAGCAGCACAACCACCGCCACAGCCACAGCCACAGCCACAGCCACTTGTGGCATCCACTCATACAAAAGACACAACAAGTGCAGCAAAGCACTGCCATGGTGTGAAAAGCGCTTTTCCAGATCAGCCGCAGCATGGCGGCCGACGACGCGACGTTCAGTGAAAGCGAATTTCATACATAAAAATGCACCAAAAACAAAGCCAACAGCCAACAGCAACAACTAGCCGTGGCAAAGATGCTGCAGCTTTATTGGTACAAATTGTGGCCAACGCCGATGCCACTGCTTCGGACGCATTGCGTGACGCAGGCTCGCCTTCTTTGCATCCAAAAGATGCAGATGCAGATGCCGAGGCAGCTAAGGCTGCCAAGGCTGTGGCTGTTGCGGCTGTCGAATGTTGAATTATTTGACATTTAATTAACTTTTTGTGCAGAAAATGAGAAACGGCACTTTCACTGCGCTCATGCCACACAACGATTGCAGCCAAGTCTGCAGCAACTCCAACTCCAAGTCAGACTCCAACTCCAACGCCACCTTCAGCTTCAGCTTCAGCTTCAGTTTTTCGTTTTGAGTTTTGAGTTGGCATTGGGCGACCCAGACTTCTTGTTCTTTTGTTGTGGTTAGCGACTTGTAACTGGTTTTATTTTTCTTTTCGGTTTTCTTTGTGCCTCATTTGCTGCTTTTCAAATGAAAACCAAAAGTAAAATTCATAACAGTTCAACGAGTTTTAGCTTGTGCGACCATATAAGCCAAGGCATGGATATGCATAAGGCCACAGCAACAGCAACAACAACAACAAAAGGCACTAGATATTTTATTTGTGTATAGGACTGCTGTTGTTGCTGCTGCATGCAATCAGCAAAAAAAGAAAGTTCAACGTTAATTTTCATTTTTTTTTCTTTTTTTCATAAAACATTCACTGCTGCCTTCTTCGCCTAACTAAGCGACTAACTTTGCAACTTCAAAGTGTAAGCTAACATACAACAGCATGAATGAGTGACTGAATGAATGAATGAATGGCTAGCGGACTGAAATACTATATGAGTGTGTGAGTGTGTGTGTGTGTATGTGTGCGTGAGCGCCCAGCCGGTGGCAATGAGTGGGTGTCTATGTAGACAACGATGACTGTCAATCCTACCAGTAATGGTGACGATGATGGCCACTGTTGAAGCGTTCGAGTGAAAATGCAAACAAACGGAACAGATGCAACACATATGCGCTGCACTTGGGTCAAATAAACAAACACATACACACACACACACAGATACACGGACCTACTTAGGGGCTCTCTCACATCAGCTTGATTGCTGGCTTTATCATTTAATTAGGCGGCTCGGGTCTGGGCAGCTAGTGGGCAGTCATTAACAGCAGTAGTAATTTGTTTCCATGAAGAACGCACGAACAAGATCCGCGCGCACATACACACACACAAACAATTGCAGACCAACACACCTGCACCGGCGGTTCAAGAATTTAACCCGCAGATGGGGAACATTTTGCTGTTTTTAAATACTTTACTTTACAAACTTTCAGGCAGCATCTAATTTATTGCCAATAGAAATTGATTGTGCAACTTATAACTAGACTAACTTGCAAACAATATATTTGTTAACTAGAAATTTATTGTCTTGAAACATTTCTTTTTAAAAATAATATTTTTAACTCCATCTTTTTTTTTAACTTGAACGAACCAATAAGTAGGGCAATATGGAAAATATGTACTTA